GGGGGCAGGGGGTGTGAGGCGTCTGAGGGGGGCGTAAAATGGCGGCGGCAAGTTCAGGAGGCCACGGCTCCCCGGACCTCCCCGTCCCCACCGCCACTGGAAACGGCGGTGTCTGGCCGGGAAGGAAAAAAAAGCCTTCAAGGCAATTTTGCTTCCACGGGCGCTGCCATGAGGCGGTGGGGGTCCCAAAGGCAGGAGTCACCCCACATAGACCAGCTAGGCTGGTTGAGGCACACACCAACATGGAGACGTAGTGTTAAGGGGTTGGAATGCACCTTTTCCAATCGGCTTCCCACTGGGCCAGGTTGGTAAAGGCTGTCTCCCACCTGGCTTTGAACAGTTCCAGGGATGGTGCATCCACAAACCTCCCTGTGCCAGTGCCTCAACTCCCTCACAGTAACAGAAGTTTCCTCCTAATATCCAACCTCAACTACCTCTCCCTCAAATTGTACCCATTCCTCCTTGTCCTGTCACTACAATTGCTGCTGAAGAATCCCTTCCCAGCCTCCTTCAGGCAGTGGGATGTGCTGTGACGTCTCCACAGAACCAAACATCATGTTGGGTAAGTGCCACCGCAGTGCTTCCCATCTTGCTTGGGAAGCAATGGGAATGCTGGTTTTACCTTGCCGTGCAGGGAAGGCTGCCTGTTGTCACTGGCATCCCTGTGCTCCAAATGAACAGCAATTAAAAGTATAATTAAGAACAACAGCCTGGATTCACTTGCTGGTTTTCCCAGCCTCTTATTCCTGCCTTGCCCCTTGCACTGATTCAGCTCACTGGAAAAACAAACTAACCCAGAGGAAAAAAAAAAAAAGCAGTGTTTTCCTGACTGGATCAACAAACTGAACCTGCTCAGCTGAGGGACAGGGCAGAACCCTCGTGGGCTCTCCAGGACTGGGCAGAGCAGCCAGACCAGCTCGCCTCTGCATCTAAACCCACACTCAAGGCTTGCTGTGGCTGCAAGAAGGGCCCTTGATAATGCTTCCCACAGCCTGGGGAATCTGGGCATCCCCTGTGGCCTCAACATAACGCAAACTTATCCCATCTAAAGAGCTTGGCCTCTACCCAACTTATCCTGCCCAGTTCATGGGGAGCTTCCAGGTACTGACCTTCATTTGAGAGCACACAAGTTTTTACCTTGTTAGGTCCTTACCTACATGTCCATTTTTCAAAGACCAGACTTGCTGATAACATTTAAGGTTTACTTGCCTTAAAGGTTAGGAGGAAGCGAATCTGTTCTGTTTCACTTTGCCAGGCTATACCAAACAGCGTAACACATGTTTCTCCTTTTCTTATAAGGTCCTTTTAAAAGGTCCTTATAAAAAAAAAAAAAGCTAAGAAGTTACCCCACTTACAGTGATTTTCTTCACAAACCACATCAGGAGAACTTAATGCTTACACAGGGCCTTTGCCCCTCCACAAGTGAGCACAGATTTATTCAGAGCCTCCAGAACCTCTGCTATCACCACCATCAGGAGCCAGGCTCTTAGGTAATTCCCAAACTGGAGCCAGGTGCACCCTGACTGAATCAACGAGGCAGAAAGCCACCCTCAATTTTGGCCAGACTAAACAAGCAACCTTTACTCTGGCTCTAAAGCCACCTTGCCTAGGCAGGGCTCAGCGCACTGCCCTTATCTCGTGAGCGTAAAAAAAGTGTTGACGAGGCACCTCAACTTTCCAACCATCAGCCAGCTACTAACCTAGGAAAACACACACCAAAAAATAAAAGAGCTGCATGAAGAATATTTAAAAGGTGGTTAAGTAAGACTGTCTGGAATGTGAAAGCTATTTCAGCAGGCAGGGTGTTTTTCTTTCTGGGAGCTGAAGGACAGGGAGAAGAAGGGAGTAGATTGGAGCTAGCAGGTTCTACCCCCAATCTGTTATCATTTCAGGCTAGCCCAGGTTTTCCTGGAGCTTTGCCAGTTCCCATTGATTTGGGACCTTTTTTTTTTTTCCTCTCTCAAGCACAGAGCACATAATATTTGGGAATAACTAATTGTCTCCGTGACTTAGCTTTCCTGATCTAGCCACATTGTCTGCTAGTTTCTTCACTTAAACACTGAATTAAACTAAAGTTGCATCAGGAGTTCAAGTACCAGCTGTCTGCTGTGGATATTTGGAAGAGTGGGAAACTCCCAAGGATATCTCAGCCTGTTGGGACCAGGCCCAGCCCACAGATGTGAGCTGAGACCTGGCACTGAGGATCTGCCTACCACCTTCTGCTTCTGCTGAGATTTGGGTTTTTTCCTGAGGACAAACCTCCCAGATGAGATACCAGATAAGGCTTCTCAGGAAGGATCGTGGCTTGTCTGCAGTGACATACAGCTGAGTCACTTGGCTGCAGCTGAGGGAGAAGGAGGCCTCCCCCAGCCTAAGCTTGGTTTTTAGCCCCGTTTTCTGGGAGGCGCACATGGAGAAAGCGAGTAGGAAGAGCTCGGAAAGCTGCAGCCAAGTGAGGGACTTTCCTGCAGCTAAACACATGACTCACTTTGCAGCTGCCTCCCCTACCAACCTGTTGGACTGGGCCAGCACCAGAGCCCTGCTGGTTTGGATGCTCAGTTTTGTTGTGCCTACAGCACACAAATTCCTTCCACGTCACCTCGCCCTCCTGGCACCCAGTTCTTCGCTTTGCATAAGTGGGGCACGTGAGGAATCTCTCTTTGGCAATCCTGGGAGGCTGGCCAGAGGCCCCTGCAGGCTCTGGTTTTGCAGCCGCAGCCAGCTCTGCAGGAGAAGTGTTCTCTTTGCAAAAGAAAAAAAACCAAAACAAGTGAAATAAATAAAGAGAGGCATTTTCCGCAGCAGCCTGGCTTTCAGACTCTTGCATTTCCACTCTGGAAAAGTGTCTGCAGCAGCAGCAGGAGGAGGAGAAGAAGCAAAGCCAGCCACAAATTACAGCCTGACAGCCTCGTGCAGAGCCTTGAACACGTTTGAAGTTGATTCCAGCCCAAGAGCAGCCTCCCTGTGATTCACCAAATGGTTTGGCTTGCGGGTCCTCCTGGAGTGGAGACAGACACACACACACACACACCCCCCCTTCCTCCCCACTAACAGGCTGCAGAGAAGTAGCTCCTGCTCTGATATTCTTCCCAGGGCAGAAAGCATCAGAGCATGTTCCAAACGGGATGGCAGTTCTGCAGGGGCTGCATCCAAGGGCAGAGCTGCAGGTCAGCAGCACCAGCAGCTCTGCCAGGGTACATGGGACCTGCCCCACACACAAAAAAGAAACAACCAAAAACCACAACCCTGACCCACAGAAACAGATGGTTCTGGACTGGATCGGGGTCCTGAATCAGCCCAAGGTGCAGAGAGCAGCGCATGATGAGCCAGCTGGGCTGTAAGAGCGAGACAACAGCAGCTTCAGATTGACACAGAGTAGGTTTAGGTGAGGAAGTAGTTCTTCCCCGAGAGGGGCACAGGCTGCCCAGAGAAGCTGTGGCTGCCCTATCCCTAGAAGTGTTCAAGGCCAGGTTGGACAGGGCTTGGAGCACCCCAGTCCAGTGGAAGGTGTCCCCACCCATGGCAGAGGTTTGGAACAAAATGGCCTTCATGGTCCCTTCCAACCCAAATCACACTGTGATTCTGTGACCCGACACATTCTCAGTCTCTCGGCCCCTGGCACCAGCACAAACAACCACACACTGCCGAGCCCAGCAGCTGATCTGGCTTTAGGAGTGATCCCTTCCTCACCCCAGGCAGTTTTTTGCCTGGATCCGGTTCTCTGTCTGAACGCCTGTGGCACAGCACGGGGGTGAAAGCGTTGAGGACCGGCCCCCTTTGGCAGCCGTGCCACAGCAGAGCTCTCAATTAACACTGCCATGGTCACAGGCTGCGTTCCTTCCCACGTTCAGCCCAGCCACAACTTAATTATCAAAAGGGGTCACATCAAGTACACTGGATTTTCCCAGCAAAGCATAACATAAAACCTCAAATCACTGCAGCTAATTCTCATTTCAGTATTTCCTTTGTCAGCTGTCACAAGTTGTGCATTTTAGTTGCAAGCTGTATTTTGTTGCCAGGTTTCCTCAGCATTTTAGGTACTACTAACAGGGATTAGACTCCTATTTCAAGGTAAACCATATCCCAAGGCAACTGATACTGCAAGTAGATCAACACAAAGATCATCAGCAGCCGTAAAGGCTTTGCCCTCATGAACCAGGATTTCTGACCAGCTCTAGCAAGATCTGGAAGTGCAACAGAGTTGCCAGAAAAGCAGATGATTCCTCCAAAATAGAAGGGAATCAACAGTGCAGCACCAGCTCATCAATGTTTTAAAGGATATGCACCAAGATGCAGAATTCTGTTCCTGCTCCCATTGTGTCATCTTGTCAGGGCCATAAACATCGAGATTGCAGCCAGATAAATCTCTGCCACAACGTTTGAAGCAGGGTTTCTTTTTATAAATGTAAAGTAATATGTTTCTCTAAATCCTATTTGACCCAACCCCCAAAAAATTTAGAACTATACACCTAGGCTATCCAGGAAGGAAAAAAATGAAAATGTATAATAGATCTTAAAATATATTTCGATACAAATATATAAAACAAAAAAGTATATACAAAATTGAGCTCCTTTCATTTGGTCTCTGCTTCATGGGTTTTCGAGGATTACACTTGGAAGTTGGTTTTTTTTCACTCAGAAGCACTTAGGGCTTTTTCAGAAGTGGAGGTTATTGTCATCCAGTGTTTTCCATCTGCTGTGACTCATTTTTGTTCACTCAGAAGTGATTAGATAATCACAGGACTCCAGGAGCTACGGCTTTAAGGAAAAGCACAAAGAATTACAGCTTTTGCAGGAAAAATAAGAGTTGGCAGAGAACAGCTACAAAGGCTGCTGTAAGGAACCAGACTGAGAAAACGCAGCCACCCCCCCGACTTTCTTCACACAGTTTCCTTCTCTGTTGAAATACTTGGTTTCTCTTCCTTCATTATCCAAAGCAAAAAGGAAGGCACAAAATAGAACATATTATTTGGGGAAGAAGGTGCAAAACAGAAGAGTTTGGGCCAGAAATAAAAGCCCAAGTAAGCTGGCCTCAAAACTTTAGATGAGCTAAGAGCTGATGCTTAGGAAAGAGAGAAAGAATAGGACAGGAAGATCATGTAGTTTAATATCTTAACAAACAGCCTGAAAAGTCAGGCAGTGATCACTGCTTTCCTGCTCACTGAGATTCTGTGCAAGGTCTACAGTTCTGGTTTTTTAGGTCACAAAAAGCATCAGGCAGCACCTCCTCACGTGTAACCTCACCTCAGCTGCACACTCACGGACTTTTAGGCCAGGCTGTGGATTTCAGTGAAGCTTGCAGCAGCAGCTAATCCCTGCGGCCAAAAGTGGCACGGGTTGGGATTAATCAAAGTCACAAGGCTGCAGGGGGGAAGTGGCAAGTGCAGCTCCCACCACAAGGTCTTTCTTCATCATACCAGTGGATACAACCCACGCCCAGAGTCGTGGGTATCTGAATAGCTGCCCTCTGCCCTGTTCTACAAAAGGGTAAAAATACAGCCAGAGACTCAACCTCTTTCTTCCACTGTCCCAGCTAAATCTGGGATTTTAAGCATTTGGAGCAACTTGCCCAGTGTGGTGTTCATCCCTTGCTTGCTCCAAGTCTGACAAGCATCCCACAGCAAACTTCCTGAGCCTCTTCTAGGGTTTCTTCAACTTCCAATTTCATAAAGCAAAAGCATGTTTCACTCTGGAGGAAAAAACACCAGGACTGTGGCACAAGGAGGGCAAAGAGCTATGATTTTTGGATTTTTGATTGGATTTTTGGATTGATTTGGATTTTTGACCTTTGGATTTCACAAGAGGATTCCCTGGAGCAACCTCCTTTCCTGTGTCATTCACACTGCAACAGCAGCTGGGGAAACATTGGAGCATCTCCTCCAAACAGCAAACACAGGCAAGAGAGATGCTTTATGAATTCCATGGGCAGTGCTGACTAATGAAGTATTGGCCTCCTGGTTTTCCATGGCACTCACAGTGGAAGCCTGCAGCCTGGTTTTCCATGGCAGTCACAATTTCCATGATTATCACCTCATGTGTGTCTTTACACTTGCTCTTCATAGGAAAAAAAAAAATAAAAAAAATCTTATTTTCACCGTCAGTTTGTTAATCCTGGCCCTAAGAAAGTCAGCATCACGTACCCACACAAGCTCAGCTACTGCCAGGAAATAGCTGGAGCAAAACTCACCATTCTGCCGAGCTTTGTTTGCCATGGTGAACGTCAAAGGAGAAACAAAACCCTTTTTATCCTTCCCCAGGGAAGGGCAGAGAGGTGTAGGAGTTAGCATTCATCCTCGGGCACTGCCAGCCAGTCAGCTGCAGAACAAAAGCATGGCTGAGCCCATGGAAGAGAGAGGAAAAAAGCACCAAAAACCCACTCTGTCAAGAGCAGCAAGTGATATTCCTGGCTTAATACACTGGGTCACACCCAGCACTTGTGGAAGGACAGAGGGGAAAACCAACCCAAGCTACCTACTGAAAAATAACCATCCCTATTTCCCCTCACTGAGCTACTGCAGCTGCCTGTTAAAACTTACCCAACAGCTGCTTCCCGTCAGGTTGGAATTGTCATGCTCAGCTGCAGCTGGTCTCTTTCTGTGCTCCTTTAGTGGGAGGACAAGGTTCAGAACCATGTTCTGTCCTTGCTAGCAGATCTGCAAATGAGATTTAACTAACACCAAGAAACATGGAAACTGTTTTTTTCCATAAAAATGAAGATTATCAGGTTTGAGCTGCTCCTGTTTCACAGGGAAGCGTAGAAAGCAAACAGGTTTTGCTCTTATTTGGTTTTCCTGATGCTGCCTGGGGCAATCAGAAGATACATGGAATTTTGTAGTGATTTCTAGTAAAAGCATCTGGGTTTCCCCAGCTTGCTCTGAGCAGCTGTTCCAGTGACAGCCTCCCTGCTGGCAGCAGTGGTTCCTGCTGCAGGTGTCCACACAAAGCAGGTGATCTTGGTGGACTCACCCTGCTGTGTCCCTGAGACCCGTGGGTTCATGAGCAGGAGAGTCCTGCCGTGTGTCACACACATCTCTCATTCCACAACACACCTTTCAAATGACACCCACCACGACTAGAGCAGCCGAGGTGGGGAAGCAAGTTCCATCCTTGCAGGCTGCCAGGATGCAGCAGTGCCCTTTCCTACAGGTGGATCTTCCAGAGGTCCAGCTGCAGGGCTTGGCTGACCCTATGGACATCCCAGTGAACTCCCCAGGCTTCTGGGCAGATCCTGTCCTTTATCTGCTCGGGTGCTTTTGTTTCAGATTATTTTTTGGAAAGGCCCTTCTCTGTGATGAGCAAGGCTCCAAAGGTCCTGGTGTCCTCATTGTGTGCAAAGCAGTGGGGATTTGATTATCACCAAGCCAGAAAGATCTCCAGGCAGAGGTGTTATCTTCCCTTTGTACACAAGGCCCACAAGGCCACAGCATGACTTCAGGGGATTGTCAGAAGCCACCCAGGGGCTGGGTGGTGCTCACAGTGGAGCTGCTGCATGCCTGAGCTGGTGCTAGAAGGGGCTTTCCTGCATCACACCCTGGCCACGCACTCCTGCTGCTTCCCTGCGGAGAAACAGACTGACCCTGCATAGACCCGATCGGCTCCTGATCCAGCCAGATCAGGGGATCCAACTCTAAATTCCCCTTGCCAAGGAAAGGCAATAAAGGGAAAGATTACAGGCTCACTTTACTGCAGGTCTCACAAAGGGAGGGAGAGGGAACCTGTATCAGGGACAGAGAGCACAGGATGGTCCTTCCCCTGCATTAGGTGGATTTAAGCACCCCATGAAATGGCAGGGCCACAAAAAGATGAGATACAAATAACACATTAGGGCAAGGAAATAATGTTGCACCAATAAACCTCACTGATGAAAGCACTCAGCATGAGGAACCTCTTCCAGCCGAAGGCTTCTTGAAGTTTCGTCAACATTTGAGAACACCTTGATAAAACCACACCTTTTGATAAACACCTTGACACCAAGGGTTTGGCTTAGATATTAATAAGTCACTGTTGCCAGAATTTATTTCCATACTCTTAAGACTAGTGATGCTCTGGGTGAGGAGCAGAAGAGGACAGCCTGCAGCAGAGACCACACTTTGGTCTGTGCCTGTGGCTTTGTGTGGTGCTTCTCAAGTAAAACCCAGTGGGGCACCCTGGTTGAATAACTCAGCACCTGAATCACTCCTTGGGTTTTCTGGGTGCTCAGAACTTTCCAGTACAAAGTGGCTCTCACTTCCTTCTATTTGGAGGTGACAGAATGAGACAAGTCACGATTTTGCAGACATTTCCTCTCCCACTGAGGCCCAGAGTGGGTAACTGCTGCCATTTAGCACAATCAGCTCCTTTTTGCTGGGGTTTTCTCTTCACACACAGGCTGGTCAGAAAGAACCTAAATTGACCCTAAATTGAGTTCCCTTTCTTGAATGGTGTGTTGGGAAAGTAGGTTGGTCAGATGGGGAGTTTTCACGTTTGTAGAGGGCAGAGAGACACGGATTTTACCCAGCTGAGGGTGCTGCTGACCTTACTGAGATGCTGACAGCCACATGATGGCATTTTTTTCACTGCAGGGCTGTTCCAGAGCCGATGACACCAGTACAAATGCACCTGCAGCCTGCATCTGATCCCCCCATCTCTTCTCACTTGCCTTTTTTCCTCTGACAGAAGCTTCAAAGGCCAAACCAAAAAGCACAAGGCTTCCCACTCACCTGGGAGATCAGCAGACTGGCCTTGCTGGGATAGGGGAACATCAGAAGCTTTTTTTTTTACTGGTGGTACTACTTTAAGGTTTGCCAGCCTCTCTTCTTGAGAGAAATCCCCCTGGCTCAGCTGCTCTCATCATGTCAAAAGTGAATCTTTCGCGTTGCAGGTTTGGAAAGAGTTTGCGATGATTAAAAATAAACCAACTTCTTTATTTCGCTCTCAGCAGTTTTAGAGAAGCAGAATTGAAAAAGGAACAGAAAATAAGGTGGAGGGTCATTTGAAGATTCTGCACATGTTTGCAGGGGGCTAAAGGATGCAGAGAGGGAAGGGTGGGTGGAGCTCAGTCAAAAGCACATCAGCTGCCAGCACCTCGATTCCCACCCTCATTATGAAGGCTTGTTTTAATTACACCTGCTGCGAAAGTGGGGGAAAGTCTCTCTGGAGAGCTCAGATAATGGCATGTGCTGGGGCTGCACAAGCCAGACAGCTGGGAAAGCAAACATGAGGAATCAGCTGTGTCCACAGGTACTGGATAAAAACTGATAAAAGTATCAGTTCCCCGTGGAGAGCAGAACTCCTTCCTCGGGTGCTGAGCAGACAGCAAATCCTGCTGCCTTGGGGACAGCCCCTTTTGCTGGCTGTCATTTCCCCCAGCCCCTGGATCTCATCACCATGGCTGCTGTTCGGGCTTGCTGCCCTCTTCGTGGGCAATTTGCTCGTTCTTCTTTGATGGCAACAGCCTCTCCTCGCCAGCTGATGCAGCAGGAGAGCATCGTGGGTGGGGTGCGGGACATCCCTGGGGGAGTGAGTGTCTCAGAGTCGGTGAGACAGGAACAGGCACGGCCCGGGGGAGACAGGGGTGAGGCAGGGAGCAGACAGGAGCTTTTCTGCGTTAATCCCTAGAAGAGATGGGGAAGGAGGAACAGAAAAAGCAGATGTGGGGGCTGGCAGCGCTCGTTTTCCCCCTCCAAGCTGCAGGGCCGGGAAGCTCCCTGCGAGAGGAACCCGCTCCAGTAAGGGCTGTGAAAACTGGGACCAGTTCGCAAAGAGGCGAGGGAGCGGCAGGCGGTCGGCAGGTGGCAGCAGGAGAGCGGTGAGAGGAACAGCAGCCGCCCAGGGCTCGAAAATGGGCTAAGAAAAAGGAGTTTCCGAGCTTGGCTTTTTTTTTTTTACAGCCTTCTTTGACATAGGGACCCATCAACGGCAGGAAGGATGGAACACCGCGTTGATGGTTACAAGGAGAGAGGTTTCCCAGTAGGAAGGAATGGAAGTGTTTAATTATTCATAGGAACATAAAACAGAAGACAAAACAAACAAACAAAAAAACTAGAAAAGTTTCAGCTCTTGGTTCTGCATTCCAAAGGAAAAGGTGGGCAGCCTTGTCAGAGAGGATGGAAACTCCTTTGTGAGGTTTATGCAGGAAGGCTCAAGAGGAAAAGCCCAAGGACAGGTGGATCAGTGATTAAAAAAGGCATTCACCCCTTGGAAGATAACGAGGATTTTCACACTGTCACCTTCCTGATACCAGCCCATAGCCAGGGAGTCTTTAAAGCTCTCATTAAAGCACTGAAAGTGCTTTCCTTGGGAAGGCCTGGTGCAGCTTGTGGGAAACAGGAGTTCCTGGGATGGCTGTGCACACACCCACACACACACCCTGGCACCGAGAGAAACCTGCTCCCTCTTCACAGCCTGGGGGAAATTGTTAGTTATTGTTTATGATCCACAGGGAATTTCCTTTGGGAAAAGGAAAAGAGGAGGAACTGTAAAGTCTTCTGCCAATAAGTTGGATCCTTTTGGGTTTTCTGTTCTTACACTCAGCATCTGCATGAGGCATTTCGTTTTAAACAAGCTTTGGAGACCCAAAAAGGTGCAGAAATAGCGATGCTTTATTATGCTAAAGGAAAGTGAAAGTTAGTCTGTTCCCTGAGGATCAGATCTGCTTTTAACTCTTATCAGCTCAAAGGGTTTTAGATAATACAGCTGAAAAAAAAAAATAGATTTCATGGTTGGAACTAGATGATCTTTTAGGGTTTTACCCCAACACAAACCAGTCTTCAGCTCCCTGATATCTCCCTACATTTATTTTGCATGGTTTCCCACTTTCTGCTCCTAGCAGATGAAGCCACTGGTGTTTAAAAAAAGTGGAAGTGTTTTGGGACATGGATCAGTCCTGCTGCTCATTGAGTTAGATGTTTTTAAAATTGAGAAGATGATATTGTGCAATAACCTGGGATGAAGACTTAGTCCCCTAGAGATTACTTCACATTTAGCCCTCAACAATTCATTTTGTCCTCTACAGATCAGCACAAATTTTACAATCAAAAGAACCCTCTAACTACCTCTATCTTGTCCTCAAAATGTTCATTCTCTCCCTGACAGATTATCTAAATTTTACCTCTAAAAAAAGCCCCTACTGATTACCTCTAGATTATTGTGAAAAATGTCTTTCTGTCCCATACAGATTATCTCAGATCTTATCCCCAAAATATTCACTGTGCCTTACAGATCACCTAAAGTTTTCTAGACAAAATTTTTCCTACCTGTTGTTTACCTCATTTTTACCTGGAATCATTCTCTTCCCTACAGGCAAACTCGAATTTCCACCCCCACCCCCATTTTGTCTCCTACAGTTTAAGTAGATTTTTACCACCCAAAAAATCCCAACTGATTACCTCTATTTTACAGCCAAATTGTTGAAGCAGATCCTGCTTTTTATCATTCCAGTGTTCCAGGCAGATGCTGCCGTGGGGCTAACAGAGGAAAAAAACAGTGGAAGCTTTTTTTAAATTGAAGCCTGACCTGGTCACTGCCACTTCATCAACTTGAACCGAGGGCG